AATCGTAAATGTTTAATATATGATAAATGTAGTGTAAAATTGTAAATGTTTAATATATAATAAATATAGTGTAAAATTGTAAATATTTAATATATGATAAATGTAGTGTAAAATTGTAAATGTTTAATATATGATAAATGTAGTGCAAAATTGTAAATGTTTAATATATGATAAATGTAGTGTAGAATTGTAAATGCTTAATATATGATTTTCTTTTCCTTATATTATTAAAAATAGATCCCCGATTACTCAGGGTAAGCTTGACGGCTTATAACGGTAATATTCGGAGTTCAATCCCTGCGATAGAACTGGTGGGTACAATGCAAATAACTTACTGTGTGCAGCTTAGGGCTTAAAACAAAGAAACTAAAAAAAAAAAAAAGGTGCTAAAAACCTACGTTTACACTTTCCGCTCAGTTCTGGAGGTGGTTAGTTGTGAAATCATTCTTTACCAACTCAAGAATGGTTAACACTTTTACAGACGTGTGTGGCTATGATAACAGGGACTCGTTCAATTCACTATAATGTGTTGTAAATGGAATCATTAGATCCGAAGACGTTAATGCTATGGGAATGGCGACCTTCAAATATATGAATAGACCAAATCACACGTACATACATCAAATCCTTATTGCCAGGCCGAAGAAGTTTGATCAGTTTTTATTGATCGATGTGATAAAGGATGTCCCACTATACACAGCAACTGAAGTAATGTTGATTTCATCCACCCGAAAAGCTTTCCTGATCAACAGATCGGAACAAGGAAACAAAACGAACCTGAAACGGGGGACGAAAGTTAAAACGAAAAGAGAAGAAAATAAAAAAAACGGTGAGCTGACACGTGAGCTAAATGCGACACGAAGAAACAAAGATTTGAAAAAAAAAAGAACACGGCTAGTGAGTGAGGTTATGAAGAACGTGCTCCAATTCTTTACAAAACACGTTCTTTCTTAGTGAACGATTCTGAACAAATCTTTCGCTAAATTTCCTCATCTTCTGTCTTCCTCATCTTCTACCTATATGTATATAAGACTGTAGAAGTGAAAAACTAGGAAGTGCCCACTTGAACTGGGTCATTTTCCACGAATCAGGGGTCAATGTAATACGAGGCATGTAAAGGAGGCCTAGGAGGTTTTTTTTTTTAACACTTTTATATAATTGAATTATGCTTACCAGAATAGCGTGAAAGACTACAATATTAAACTTGAAAAATGT